ATAACAAGTCCTCAATAAATGATAAATATTTTTAAGAGTTAATATGTTGGGCAAAGATGATAAGAGATGGCAGATGTATCTGGGGCAGAGGTTTAAGGAATTGGATAGGAACCTGAAAAGGAAGAAATGCGGTAGAAGGCTATGAAAACAGTATTCGTTTAAAAAACATATAGGCTTATTAGACGAATTTTTGTTAACTTGAACACTAGTGTAATTACTTCTAACAACAATAAATAGTCTTTTTAGAGCCTCTACATTCACTTAGCAAGGCATTTCATTTTGATCCAGTCAGTATCTACTAAAGCTTAGTGAATAAATATTTAGTCACAGAATCATTTTTTCTAAAGCTTATAATCCCCCTTCTTTCCCATTTTAATCCAAGCAAATAAATACATTTTCTAATTATACCATGCAACAATAATTTATCTGGAAGCCCTGTTATATGAAAATGCATGCCTAGCTAGATGTATTTAGGGTATATTTTGTTAGAGTTGGCATAAAAACTCCAATCTTGAAAAATTTTAGGGTTTGTAGCAACACACTCAGAAGCATTTTTCCTGGTAGTTGCCAATCTAAGCAGCTATGGCTGATCATAATCCACAGCAAATCCATTGGGCAAATGTATTTATTTCTTCCAGGTTGACAGGTAATGGGGACAACTAAGGCACTCCGGAAACAATGACCTTCGAAAACTGCCTTTGCTAATACAGTGTCTTGGGATGACAGCCATCAATGCTGGCTTTGCAGCCTCTCCACCTCTGCTTGGCTGAGTCAGATGCCTTCCCTTGGCCTCAGTCAGTAGGAGGTGGCAAAATCTGGGGGCACTTGTGACCTAGTGCCACCTGCTGCTTTCTACCCGCCTTTGCTGTGGGGAAGGAGGCATCTGAGGGCAGCACTTTCATGGACTTCTGGTGGAAAGCCTCTCTTCCAGCAATCATTGTTTGACTCTTTGACATCATAAATCATGAATGCATTTTCATATTAAAAACAGAAGAATGTAAAATGCAGTTTCATGATTCCTAGAATAATCTTTATACTATAAACGATCAAAACATGACGAGGTAGGTAGTAAAATTTTAATGCTAATAAAAGTAATAAAATTATAGATAGTACTGATTTATTTTGCTATTATTATATGTTGAATACTGTATTAAGCACTTACAACTAATCTCATTTAGTCATTATAATGTACTGGTGAAGTAGGTGGTATTACACTCATTTTTCAAATGAAGAAAGACATACACTGAAAGAGGTAAAGCTAAGGTCACATAGCTAGTAAACACATAACTCATGCTTAAACCCCAGATCTACTGACTTTGAAGTCTACATTGTATGGCAATGACTCTCATGTTAGACTCTGTACCACTAATAACATTAGTAACAAATAGCCTGGAAACTCTGTACATTGGTTTAAAATGGGTTCATTAAAACTGCTTTATCTATTTCACGGGGCATTATAAGTATTAAAAGGCATAAACATTTTGAAAGTTCTTTGAAAAAAAGTTAAAATATGTACATATTTGTAATAATATATATACATATACACATGGAGCCCTATTTATGATGGTTCAAATTAATGACTATTTGACTTTATGACGGTACAAAAGCAATATGCATTTGGTAGAAACCATGCTACAGTATTCAATAAATTACATGAGATGGTCAACACTTTATTATAAAATAGGCTTTGTGTGAGATGATTTTGCCCAACTGTAGGCTAATGTAAGCATTCAGAGCATGTTTAAAGCAGGCTGGGCTAAGCTATCACATTTGATAGGTTAGGTATATTAAATGTGTTTTCAGTTTATAGTATTTCCAACTTACGAACATTTATCAGGAGGTAACCTCATCATGAGTCAAGAAGTATCTGCAAATATATTCAATATAAATAAAGAATACACTTACGTTTTAAATATAAACAGCGAACAAGCTCAGAATGGTATGTGGAGAAAGTATTAAACTTGCAATCTGAAGACTTGGATTTTAGCCTCAGATGTAGGATTTGGATATGTCACATCTCAACATTCACTTGGGAAATGGGGGATATACTTACACTTAATAAATGAAGGATTTTCTCATCTAAAGATTGTACATGTATGTCACATGTTTGTATGTATGTATATTATTATTTATTTAATAATTATTTTCTACTTACTTATTGCTTTTGTACAATCATATACTCCAGAACTATAAATTATAGAACCTCAGAATTTAAAAAAAATTTGCTACAATAGAAATTTACTTGTTTATCTTGCTTATCTGGTTATCATATAAAATGAATGTATACTTTCTCATTCGGATATATTTTAACCTTCGTAAATGGAATGCTAAATTACTTAGTATTTCTAGCATTGTTTAGGAAAAACAGCAGTGGCAGGATCAAGAATCAGCAGACCCAACTTAAAAATTCTCTGTGTTCAGAAAATAAATGCTTACTTTATGACGCATATGCCAGCTTATTTTCTGCAGTATTGCTTCTAACAGAAAACTTTTGGAAACAGTACAAATTGTTAAATTGATTAAGCTTGTCATTCGCTTACTGAAGTACTATGCAGCTCTAAAGAATAATCAGCTATTCTTTATTAAAAAGTGAAAAGATAAACAGGATTTAAAAAAACAAGGATCAGAGCGTGCATATAATATTCTACCTCTTGAGTAAAAAGCTAGGGGGGCAGTATTTATGTTTGTATTTGCTTGTGCGAGCCTAAAGAAACGTCAGATGAACAAATAAGAAATTAATAACAGTGGTTTTTATGGAGCAGAGGCTGGAAAGACCCAGAAAGTGGCAGACAAGGGTTAACAGTAGCTTCACTGTACTTCATTTTACACTTACTGCATTTTCAGTCAGATTGCAATTTCTACTTAGAAGTTAAAAAAAATTCAAATGCTTTAAAAAAAAAAGTGAATGCTTTAAAGGGGTATTATTGAGAATTTAAAGTTCTGAATCAGACTGGTTAATCCAGGTGTCTATTGAGGTCAGTATAGATTAAGAGGGATTGAGTTTTGATTTGTGAAAGAGGTGAATGAAGAAAGAACAGGATACAGTTTGGAGCATAATACACCCTGAGGCATCAGATGTTGAGGGGATTTCATCGATGACAGTATTTAAAATGTGAACTGTGGCATCCGCTACTGACAGCCGGGAGGCATTCAGGAGCGGAGGAGGGTTGCAAAGAAGAGGAGAAGGAGAACAAGGATAAACTCTGCCTGCTCTGCAGTTCTGTCTGGGTTCCTTGGAGCTTTACTGCACTAACAATCAGACCTTGTCAGGCCTTCAGAGTCAGAAACAGGCCTTGGTTAGCATTTGTGGAAACTCACTGAAAAGCATGGCACCAGGCAATGTGTGTTACCACCATGTGCTGCCACCACCCACACAGGAACTGGAGTGAAACAAAGATGGACGGCGTGGAAGAAAGTTCCCAGGGATTTCTGCCTAACATGAGAACTCCTGTCGGCCGCCATACCACCCTGAACGCGCCAATCTCATCTGATCTCAGAAGCTAAGCAGGGTCGGGCCTGATTAGTACTTGGATGGGAGACTGCTTGGAATACCAGGTGCTGTAGGCCTTTTAAAAGAAAAGTTTTTTTTTTTTTTTTTTTTAAAGAACTCCTTCCCTGGTGTGAAGTCACAGCCATAAAATAGAGGTTATAATATTTAATTTTTTATCTGAGGTGAAGAAATATGAGAAATGAGGAACCTTTTAGAAGGTCTTACAAAAATAACAGTTCTGAATTATGAACCAGTATTGAAACAAGATGACAGATGAGGAGGAGATGCAATGGGAAACAAGGATGAACCTTGCTGGAAGACAGATGGTCATGGGGTCATTCCAAATTTGCTTTCTGTGTGAATGAATTAGCAGACGACGTGATCACTAAGGTGTTTATGAACAAGGAGAATACTGATCTCAGGAAGATCGCCTGTTGCAAGATGTTTCTACTGTGCAAAACCAAAAACAACCTTTAGGCTTAGAACTGCTTTAACTAGACCACACTTTTATAATGAGAAAGACGTGACGAAGAGTAGTGTGGTTGCCTGTAGGCATCTTGTCTCCTTGCGATAAACAACAGTCGCACATCATTTACCTAAAATACGAATCATCTCAGGCATGTGCGAGCTTCTTTCATGCAGTCACTCAGTACCAGAAAATTGCAGTGACATCTCTGGTAGAAATTTAAACTATTTACCCAGAAGGAGAGTAAAATACGCCTTTGGCTGGCTCATTTTCCTAACTATCTATTACTTTATGAATCAGAAAAGTTCAGAAGCTTTATACTGAGAAATAGAAAATAGCTAAAATGATAAACATCAAGTACCATTTCATGAGTCATCTTCCTTTCTTATTTGAATATTGGGCTTAGGAAACACGATGAATTGTGTGGATATTTGCAGTCACTTAAAGGAGGGCCTGCCATCTCTGTACTACTGACATCATGGCCTGAATACTTCTTTGTTGGGGGGCAGTCCTGGGCATTGCAGGATGTTCAACAGCATCCCTGGCTTCTACGCACTAGAGGTCAGTAGCACCCCCCAGCTGTGGCAATCAAAAACACCTCCACACATTGCCAAGTATCCCCTGGGGGTCAGAATTGCTCCCTTTGGGAAGCACCAATCTAGCGGATAGCTCGTTTTCTGTCTAACTCCTCTGTGGTAAGAGGGGTAACATACCTCAGTGACACTCAACAGAAATGAAACCCAACGAAGGAAGTAAACGCAATGGTTACCATTCAGCAAAACCACGTATCAATGAAGTGGATGCATTCCTTCTCCCTTCCCCCCAGAAACCCCAGCTGACCGAGGCATTTTCTCACAGAATGAAGACTGCCTACTTTCCCAGACCTCCCACAGGAAAGAAAAAACATGACAAAGAAAATTCATTATACACATTTAGGAGTACCAGTGACAGAATCATCCCTTGTTACGAAACTTTCCCCAGAAGCCAAAATACTCTCTGCGGTGGAGTAAACCATGCTGAATAGCAAATGAAAAAAGAACTCACTGTTTCCAGAAGAGGTTTTGTGGAATTTCGTCAGGTCAACATTTGGTGGTCTGTTGGGTTTTGGTGGAGGTGGACCCAAGGTAAATAAGGGAGGCAATGGCTTCTGCTTTGGGGTGGCTGAATTCTTTTCCTTTTCCTGACTTTGGCCCCATGGCCCCCCCACTGTCAGCTTAGAAGGGGCCTTAGGGAACCCGGCAGGAGGAGCCCCTGAGGCCGACTCTTCCTGATGGATTTTGCTCAGGAAGATGTTCTTAGCAGCGTCTATCTTCCTATCTTCCTTTTTTTCTTCACCATTTCTGGAGAGGCCTGGGGCTCCCCTGCTCGCAGCAGGTTTCAAAACCACTCCGGGGAAGGGCGAACTTGAAATCTCCCCTGCATGGTCTTTATTTTCTGGGTCTTCCCTTGTTGGTTTTAAAGGGCCGCTTTTGGACCTGATTCCCAGGGGAGCTGGCGACCCTTTTGATGGAGACACATTCTTTGCGGGGCTTTCGTCTTCCTGGGAGTCCTCGGTGCTTAGGGGTGGCTTCTGGCCAAAGGCAGGTTTGGGGAAGAGAGGCTTGGGTTCAAGATCTGGTGATGCTGACATAAATTTCCCTTTAACCCCAGCCAATTTGGGGAACGCTTGCTTCTGTTCACTTTCTGGGGTTGGAGGAGTATGCCCAGATTTCGGGCCTGGTGGCTTTAGGTCATGGTCTTGGTTTACACTGTGAAGTAATGGCTTGTTCCCAGGAGCCCAGGGAAACGCAGGTTTGGAATCTTCTTTGGGCAGGTTGATAGGCTTGGGGCCTACAGGTTTCAGAAATCCCACTTTCGCCTCGGGGTCTCTGGTGGTCGAGTTGGCTGGTGTTCCAAATCTTGGGCCCGTTCCAGTGGGTTTTAGAAACGGAGGCTTGGGTTCCTTGTCAGGCTTTTCCTCAGAAGAAGGTTTGACTGCCACAGGTGGCTTTGGGGACCCAAACTTAGGAAGGTTGCTGGGTCCTGCAGGAGAGCTGGCATTTCCTTGGTTGTTGAATAAGTTCTTTCTTGCTTGTATTCCTGAAGATGAGTTTGGTCCTGTGACTCTGAAGGGCCGGCTATTGACTGAGACCTCCTCTGTCGGGTTGCCCCCTGTGTTAAATTTCGCCATGAGGGACTTCACATCTGCTTTTCCATCCTACAAACATAGGGAACAAAAACTAGCTGAGAGACAGAAGTCTTACTTGCACAGTTTAAAATACTATACCTTAAAGAGCTTCCTGGTTTGAGGCTTGCAACGTTGCTGATTGGTTAGCAAGATATTGTAACATTTATCTTCCTCTCTGGCAAAATAAGTTGTGAGAGTTTCTCGAAAGGGAAGGGCTATGGTTGTGCATATACTTTTTTCTTTTGGTCACCTCAGACTGACTTGCTTATTTTTGTTTAAGGAACAAATCTTTTCTTTCTTCTCACTGTTTCTCTAGCTCTCTTGTTGGATTTACTCTAACCTGATATTATTTACTTTGTGTGTGTGTGTGTGTGTTTTTTTTTTTTTTTTGGACAACAACCTTAAATTATTTACCTTTTAAAGTTTTACTTGAAAAAATATGGAAGTGACTAAAAAAAGACTTCTTCAATATTTTGTAATTGAGATTCTTAAGTAGAAACTACATTTAAAAAATGAAAGTAAGTTCTTCTGTAAATTGAGGCTGTGTGCTTTACACAGCATGGCCATGTTTAACATACATCTCTGGTTTGCAAGAGTTTCTTTTCTTTTTTCTTTTTTTTTTTTTTTTTTTTTTGCTTCTATCCACATTTAAGTTCTATTTGCTAACAGGGAGTTGTGGTGGAAAATCCTCACTCATTTTTATAAGTAAGTAATAAAATGGCTTTTCTACATTATATAACACTAATGATTCACCTGTATCTATACTAGCAGGTGAAGTGTACTCACTTTCAGAATTGTTCTGTTTAGAGGTCATGGTCTGGAGGCACACAGGAAGAGAAGGAAGAAGGAATAAGGATGGGCTTTCAGTCTCATTTTCAGACCTTTCTTTCCACCGTCATCCCTTTTTCTCAGAGGTCCTTCTACTGGGTCTCCCCTGCTTGTCTAGAATTAAGGTATTACTTAGCAAAGATAATAGGCATTCACCTTTCTCTGTATTTACCTGGGAAAATTAATGATATGTTTGCTCTTTGTCTTGAAAACAAAGAGTTTAAAATTTCTAGTTCTTTTAGAAATATTTGAAAATTGGAGGCTTAAAAAAAAAAAATCACTGAAGTCAACCATGTGGCCATGACAATTTTCCTCTTCATGCTTTAAAATTCACGCATAGCGTGTTTTCTACTTCTCACCCGCTACCTTTCATTGCCCCATACCCAGGCACATTTCATCCTTCAAGGTGGAAAATCGGATTCCTCCTGCTGCGAAGGCTGCTTCCACCTCCTGACTCATGCGCGCTTCAGGTGCTCCCACCAGCCCCTACGTTATTTCCGCTTAGAGCGATGAAAACTACCATTTAGTGGGGGATGAATACATGTGCTGAGTATTAGTTATCTCATCCCGTCTCATTCTTACAGTAGTTCTAAACGCGTGTTGTTATTTAACTCCATTTCACAAGAAAGGAAAGCGAGGCTGGAACTACAGGAGGATGGCATGACCAGAGCACGAGAACTGTGTTTAAATCCTAGTTCATTTGTGGGGCCTTAATTGTAGTTGTATAATCTACATAACAGAGATAACGCGTATCTGCCAGAATTGGCATGTCTCTTAGTCATGGAATTTGTAAAATGCCTGTCTGATGTACAATATGGAAATGCCTTGAATATGCTGCCTAACAGTTCTAGGAACGGTGAGCACAGGCAGCCAAACTCGGGTGTGTCTGGGGCTCAGAAGTTCAGAAACTGTCTCGTTTGCTTCTGTATTCCTGCGTCACCTAGACCAGGGCCTGGCTCCCTCAGGGTTCTAATAGATGTTTGGGGAATGAGGGCAGGCACTCAGCTGAATACCGTGCCTAGTGATTTTACAAGAAATGGTGCCCTCAGCAAGAGTTTTTCTCCATACCAAACTATAGGGCATGTGTATTTGCAGGTTGGGAGGTGAGGGGCTTAGGCAAGAGCAGAAAAGCTAACAAAAGCAGCAATTTCCAGCTTGAATTTTGTACATTTAATTTACTTCCCTTATCTGAGTTGTTGGAAGCCGCTTGTTTTCTACCTTTCCTCCCTTTGACACTTTTCTTTCTTTCTTTCTATCTTTCTTTCTTTCTTCTTTTTTTTTTTTTTTTTTTTTTTTTTTTTTTTTTTTTTTGAGATGGAGTCTCACTCTTGTTGCTCAGGCTGGAGTGCAATGGCACTATCTCGGCTCATTGCAACCTCCACCTCCTGTTCCAATGATTCTCCTGCTTCAGCCTCCCGAGTCGCTGGGATTACAGGCATGCGCCATCACGCCTGGCTGATTTTTTTGTATTTTCAGTAGAGACGGGGTTTCTCTATGTTGGTCAGACTGGTCTCAAACTCCCAGCCTCAGGTGATCTGCCTGCCTCAGCTTCCCAAAGTGCTGGGATTACAGGCGTGAGCCACCATGCCCAGCCCCTTTGCCACTTTTCTACCACCCCTGATTTCCTCCAATCCTCAAACAATCCCCGAAGGCAAGAGGCAGGAAGACAGCAGAACAAGGGAGAATTTGGGTGCTGGGGGAGGGAATAGGAGAGAATGTGTTCTTCCCTGAACCTTCAGGGAGCTCAGAGTTGCAGAGGACCCCAAATGCCAGTACAAGAAACAAAATGGCAGAATTAATAACAAACATTCACCCCCTGTCTGGAAGGAAGTCTGTCTCTGTGGAAGATGTCTTTTAGTCTAGACTTAATTCCGTAGCATATAATGTATATTCTAGGTTTAAAAAAAGAGGCTGCATAGCAGCGTGACTAAGCGCACAGACTTGGGAGCCAGGCAGCATGGGTTTGAATCTTACCAGCTGTTTAACCTTGGACAAAAGACATCAAAATTCTTTGGGTTTAGTTTTCTCACTTCCCTAACGATAATAATAATACCTAGTCATAGGGCTGTTAGGAAAATTAAACAACTTCCTATGTGTAAAGCACTTTGAAGAGTACCTGGCACACAGGAGGATTTCTCGTTTTTATAAATCAAGTGAAACGTTAGACATTCTCTAGTCCCTTCTCTCGCTGCATTGGTGAGGAAATGGAAAGCAAGAGTTTTAAGTGGTATCCTGCTTATGTGACAACTTTATGTCTTGGATTTCATGGGGGAAAACCCATGAAATACCTTAACCCCAGTTCAAACTCAATGTTCTGGTTTTGGTTTAGAAAATATGAAAGTGGTAGATTTGGATTGGAATGTAAGTCCCTCAGCTGCCAACCCAGACCCAGGAGGCAGTGCAATGTCAAAGTGAATAGCACAGGCTCTGGGGTTAGAACTTGAGTTCAAAGCTTGACTTTGCTGCTTTGCTAACCATGTGATCTAGCAAGGTACTTCTCTGAGGCTCACTTTGCTTCATCTTTAAAGTGAGAATAATAACAGTACCTATAGCTCACAGGGTTTTTTTTGTTTGTTTGTTTTAAAATAAGCATTAAATGGGCAAACGCATGTAAAGTTCTTAGGTAAGAATTGCATGTGATCTATATCTAATAATTATCTGCCATCTCTGTTTTTCTAATTCAGTAGTCACAAAACATTATTTTCTCTAGGTGACCAAATTCTGAAGTTATAATCATTAATGTTATGTCCTAATTTTAAATTAAAGTAGCTAGAACTAACATACTCCTGAATAACATAGTAGAGCTATGATATTTAAGTTTGGTTTACCTACACTGTGAGACTTTCCACTGGATGTTGAAAAACAGGGAAAGAAGGGGCAACAAGTTCCTATGCGGGACATCTTAGAGCGTCTTTGGCACTGATATGTCTGGCGAATCAGTAGCCTGAACTCTGCAACTATCTAATCACTAATATTGGTTTCTTAGCTTTAGAAGTTGGTTAATCATGATCATTGTTAATACATTTAGTAGATACAATTTCCAACACCCAGATTCACCCTTAATGGTAACAATAATAGGTAGATTTTTTTCTTTAGTCATGATAGAAAAAGGGAAAATGATTTTTGAAATGGACATTCTCTCATTCTGATTTCATTGTAAATTGAATATCTTTTCAATTATCTAGTACTTTATATATATTTTTTTACTTAAAAAAGGGTAGGCGTAATATATTCTTGGGTGATAGAGTGAAAAGTAAGCCTTCTGCAACTCCTTAACTTAGTTCCCTGGTTCTAGAATAGGCTGATATCCTGATTTACCAGTACAGTATGAGTTTCCACCTGTTGTTCTGGAATAATGGTTAGCAATGTGCCTTTTTAATCTCAAAACTTATCTTCCTTGAAGAATAAACTACATGGTGACCTTCCCTAGTTCTCTTTAGAGGCAATCACTGTCACTAGTTTCCTATGTATGTTGCTAACCAATGCATATGCAAGCATAAACACACACTTATTCACATGCATACATCCTTCCTTCTCTCACTCTTCACACAAATGGGAACATCTACTCTGCACCTTGCTTTCTCCTAGGGCTGATATTCAGTAGATATACGTCAGTAGAGCTGGATGTATGATCAGCAATCATTTGGATTGTTTGGTACCCATGCCAATTCCAGTTGTTAAATATTTTCAATATTAACCCCACTTTCTTCCCTTGCCGGTTGGACCACATTGGTGGATGTTATTTGCAGAACCTTTTTAACTCTTAATGATATCAAGATTGGGCTTCTACTTATTCATCAGTGGAGGTCTTTCACAATCTGGAAGACATCAGAGTTTATGATATTTTAGTAAAACAAAAATTTCATTTGCGATTTCTTTTCCAAATCCGTTTGAAGAAATTTGTTATTATTTCCACCTGCTATGTATCTATATCATGCTTAGTCCAGACTACTCACAGACGTTGCTCACAAACACAAATATAATAGTAGAAAACCTCTTCATAGAAATTAATTTCCATTAGCCCTCATATATTTTGCTCTTCCTCAGAATTATATATTTTCAGTGGTACAAACTTTTACATTTGCCACAGACCTTGGGAAAATGTCTGTTAATAAAAAATGCTTTTGTTACATCCTCTGGATTTCCAGTCAACAAACCTAGTTTTCAGAAAATCATTTTCAGTTTTAGCCATCTACATAAAA